TTCTTCTTCTTCTTCTTCTTATTATTATTATTATTATTTATGCATAGCCTACACAATTATCTTCTTCTTCTTCTTCTTTTTATTTATGCATAGCCTACACAATATGGATTAGAAATAACATTTTTCCTTGTTCTCATATTTATCTTTTAAGGATTTTCTATTATCTAATGGAAGCAATAGCCCTCCATACTCCATATTGGATTCTACATGTTTAGCTTTTTAATTTGTTAAAAGATTTGAATACAAGACTTCTTTGACATGTTCTTTAACTATTATAGGGGTGATTTCTTAGTGAAGTAGTGCCACTATATAATGGATTTTTAACCTTTTTTTTTCTTTTGAGTTGTGTAATTGTGCAATAGGTGGGTGGCTAGATTGAGGGGAGGAATGTAGATGCCAGAGTTAATGGAGTTTAATTAATTTTAAAGTAATAATCTTATAATTTAGATTAAATAAGAGGTTGGGTGACTTAATTGAAAATACTGGTAAAGATTAAGTACCCACATTGAAGACAAGTTTAAGACTTAAACTCCATTTGCTGTTTCACAATTCACACCCATTTATAAAAATTGAGTAAATGACCGTTGTATAATTCTTCCCTATTGAGATTTGAGAAGAACAAGAAAGGACCACTGTATTAATGCCAATTGCCAAAGGAAAACCAAAGGACCATTGCAAGATCGGCAAGGAAGCAATCTTGGCCCTACACAATCCAATGCAAGTTTTGTTTTTCAAGCTCCTTGAAACCTGTTTTAACATCTTTGCAGTGCCTAATCAACCGATACCCTACAAATACAAATAGAAAGGTTAAAATGCACTCAGCCCCACAATTTTTGGAGTAAGAGACTTAGTCACAAATTACAAAAAAAAAGAAAAAAAGAAAAAAAAAGGATAACCTTAAACCCCTAAATTACAATAGTGTGCACTTAAACTTCAAAAGGGTTAAAAAATATATTTGTAACTCCTTATAATGTAAATGGGTTGAGTTGAGTTCTTTAAAACTCAAATTCAAGCTTGATATTATAATAATGAACCAAATCAAGTTCAACTTTTTATTAAATTTAAAAACATTGAACTCAAACTTAAACTCTACAGTTTTCATCGAAACTGAAACTCAATCAAGTACCCAATTAAAACTAAAATTTCAATTAAACTATAATTAAAATTTCCAAGCTAGGACTTAAATTAATATAAAATAAATATTTATATATTTAATATATATTATTATTTTTAAATATAATTAAGTTGGATTTGAGATCAATTCTTCTTCAAACCTAAACTTAAATTCAAATCTCATAGTTGACAAGCAACTCAATTCATCTACAGTTCTAATAACTCCCATAACTCCCTACTACCATATGAATTATCATCAAACATAAAATTTGCGTTCTGCTTTTCACCCTCAAGTCCCACGCAATTAAATATCAGAAGTGCTTGGTTAATATTGTTATGCACTGCTCTGCAGCTGCTTAAACTCTTTTTATCTATGCTATTCCCCTATGATTATTTTGCACCCAAAAAAATGCTCCAAGTATAGATCTCATCATATTTGACATTGAATTTACTTTAGGGGTTTAATAGATAACTTCATAAAAGTACAGGTACCTATGTTTCCTTTTCTTTTCTATCATCATCACCTCAACAAAGCCGAAACCAGAGGAGAGGCGGGGCTCTTCCTTCGAGGTCAAAGCACCGAATAGGCCCAGACATAAAAAGTCCCTCCACACATTCCACTGGGGGCATTGGCCGACACACTCTCCCAATTTTTTCCGTAAGCATATGCAATGGCTCATTTAGGACCCAAATATCTCATTACAGACAGAACAAAAATGTTTCTTGGATTTTATTTATGGTAATGGTAATAATATAATATATTAGGTCCCCATATATAATCCATTTTTTTTCCTGAAAAGACATGGATGGAAAAGACAGCAGCTTGTGCACATATTCTTCTTCCAGTCTCCCCTCCATCTGTTTGATGGAATGCCACAATGACCCGTCTCCTGCTCCTGGGGCTCCTTGGAATTGCAGAGATTTTAGAAGGTAGCATTGAAAAAGACATTATGCTAAAAATATGGATATTCTACTCTGGGATTCAAGAAGGGCTGCCCACAATGTCCACAAAAACCCGGTTGAGTGATGGCGGTGGCAATTGCGTCCCCTGTTCCTGCCCTCCGCTACCTCTGTTTTTCTTGAACACAGGCGCCGGGGGTGAGTCCACAGCCCAGGAATCATTCGAGTTGTCACTGCAAAACATAGCGTCGATGACCCCACTAGGACTGCTTGGCACCGAAATCTCGCAGTACTTGCGCTTTTGGGGTCTTGACAGGTCTAAAATGAGCTTGAAACACTCGTTTACTTGTTCCTGGATTAAAATCATGCACTAATAATGTGAATAAAGGGGTATTGAAGATAATAATTAGAAAAGAAACTGAAACTGTAATAATGAGAGCAGAGAGACAGACCTTGCTTATTTTAAGGACGTCCAGAAGCTGGTTGTGGTAGTCATTGGAGTGGAAAGGATGGACTTGGTCTATAACGTGCATCATTGTTGCAGTGGCCAATACAGAGGGTAGAAAACGGACAGATCTTGAATCTACAAAAAAACCAAAGAAATTATAAGAAAAACCCACAGGGTATATGCTATGACTATTTTACAGATGGGATACTCACCGGAGACTAGTGAGAGAAGGAGACGCTCACATCGGCGGAGAAATTCCCAGTGGAGATGGGTCTTAAAGCCAAGCCTCCTTATGATGTGATCAAGGAAGGAAAGTGGGGTCACCGGATGCATCTTCCATTGAAGGGAAGACAGAACCAAAAGCTCCATTCTTTGAATGGTTTTGGCATGAAACACGTACTTTGATTCCTCCACCTGAGACAGAGCAAAACAGAACAAACATGAACCCATTTTAGCAACGTTTGATTCTCTAAAAGGGACATGTCAAAGATTGATGTTGGACTATGGACATACTTGAAGGTCTAAGAGAAGAGGAACTTGGGTCTCTTCAATTTTGGCAGCCAAAGAAATACAAGTCACAGCCACAAGCTGGATCATCCATGGCTTGTCCCTTTGGAAATGAAGGCTAGATAGGAACCTGTCCAGATAATTGATGGCAAGAACAGCCGTGAGGGTAGTGAACCCATAATGGGCATTGACCTTCAACATCCACTCAACAGCCTCAGCACGAGCCAAAGACAGAGCATCATCAATTTCCACAATGTACTGGCTCCCCTGTTCTTTGGAGAACAGAGAAAGAAGCTCCTCATCTTCCCAAAACAAATCCTGCTTCAACACCAAAAGTGGGAAAAATGAAGCATTTTTGTCTGACCCGCACCCACCATTGCTATAGCTTCTGGGGCTCTCCCCCTGTAAAACCTCCCCCGCTTCATCATCTTCCGCTTCTCCATCTTCCCATCTCTCCTCCTCACAATACAGATCATCCAGAAGAAAAGAAGGGATATGCTTATCTTCTTGTACTGCCATCTTCTAAAGAAGAGAAGGGTTTTACTGTTTCAGTCCAGTATTATTATTTCTCATTATAGAAAACAGAACTCCATTAAAGAAGAAAGAAAGGAGCATGAGCTCATCTCATCTCTCCCCCTCTCTTCTATGGTATCTGTGAAGAAGTGAAGAAAGACTGAAAAGAAAGGAAAGAGAGGGAATGATTTTTAGCTGGGTGGGAATCACGCTTGTCCTTTATTGATTGAATATAATAATATTTGGTTTTTTTACTCCAATGGCATGGTCAAATAATTAATATTTTGAAATTTTAATTTAAAAATATTAAATTTAAATATTAAGTCAGTTGAGATGAAATTAAAAAAAA